AAAAAATAACATTGTTCAAGTTTATAATTTACATACCATGTATTCACCCATTTTAAGTATACAATTCGATGATTTGTAGTTTTAGATTTACCAAGTTGAGTAGGGGCCACGGGCAGGCCACCCCAAAATGTACCACTTTGGCATGCAGATTATTTTGACTGAAAACAGTCAAGACCCAAAAGACTCAGGAAGAAACTTTGAACTTCCTCCAATTGTCTAAAAAGAATTTAGATAGAGGAAGAGAGCTATCACCAAGAAGAGAGCCATCACCATGGATAACTACAGTATAATATGGACTAGGGGTTTTAAACAGGGAGGAATGTAGCAATCTGTTTGTTAAAACTCCTCTCTATATCCCATTGTTTCTGAATGGCCCAGAAAATATTTGTTTACCAAACATGTACTTTTTTCATCTTCCTGTGAATTAATTTTCTTCCCTTTGAAATCCCAGACCCATGGCCCCTTCTCCTTAGTTCAAGATGACATATATACCTCATTTTGCCTGACTATCTTTGGAATCTCATATCTATGTGGATTCCCTGTACATATGAAATTAAATTTTATTTTCTTTTGTTAATCTGTCTCATGTCAGTTTTTTTCTTTTAGAACAAATGGGGGAGGGGCAGATGGAGAGGGAGATAAAATCTTAAGCAGGCTCCATGCCCATCGAAGAGCACAATGAGGGGCTCAGTTTCATGATTGTGAGATCATGACCTGAGCCAAAATCAAGAATGGGATACTTAACTGAGTGAGGCACTGAGTCACCCATGTCTCATGTCAGCTTAATTCTTAGACCAGTTAGAAGAAATCTGAAGGATAGAGTAAAATTTTTTCCTCCCCAACATGTACAACCATCACCATATCCAGTTTTAGAACATTTCCTTGTCTCTAATAAGATCCTTCATATCTGTTTACAGTTAATCCCCATTCCCACCCTTAACCCTAAAGTAAACATGAATTTACTCTTCAGTCATTATGGATTTGCCTTTTCTGGACATTTCATATAAACAGAAGCATGTAATAGTTTGGCTTCTTTTATTTAGCATAATATTTTTAAAGTTTATTCATGTTGTAGCATGTATCTGTATTTTACTTTTTGCTTATTAGTGTTGGTATTCCATTGTGGACATACCACGTTTTGTTTATTCCTTCACCAGTTGATGGATGTCTGAGCTTTTTGAGTAATTTTTTTTTTTTGACTATTAAAAAATTTTTTTTAATCTTTATTTAGTTTTGAGAGAGAGACAGAGTGTGAGTGGGGGAGGAACAGAGAGAGAGGGAGACACAGAATTCAAAGCAGGCTCCAGGCTTCAACCTGTTAGCACAGAGCCCGACGCGAGGCTTGAAGTCACAAACCATGAGATCATGACCTGAGCTGAAGTCGGCCGCTTAACCAACCGAGCCACCCAGGTGTCCCTTTTTTTGACTATTATAAATAATGGTGCTACAAATGTGAATGTACAAATTTTGTGTGAATATGTTTTATTTCTCTAGAGTAGATATACAGGAATGCAATTTCTGGGTCAGTGAAAAATCTATATTTAACTTTAAAAGAGATGCAAAACTATTTTTCAAAGTGGCTGTACTACTTTATTTTCCCATCAGCAATGTATGAGAATTCCTATTTCTTCATATTCTTGCTGACACTTGTTATTATCTGTCTTCTGATCATAGCCATCCTGGTAGGCAGGAAGTGGTTTCTCATTGTGGTTTTAATGTGCATTTCTCTAATGACTAATGATATTAAGCATCTTTTCATGTGCTTATGAGCTTTTGTACATCTTCTTTAGAGAAATATCTATTCAAATCTTTTGCCCATTTAAAAATTGGATTGTCTTCTCATTAAGTTGTAAGAGTTCTTTCTATATTCTGTATATAAATTTTCACCATATGTGTGATTTACAAATTTTCCTACTCTGTGGCTTGTCTTTTCATTTTCTTGTGATGTCTTTTGAGTGCAATTTTTTTTTAACTTTTGAAATAATGTAAGGTTCAGAGGAAGTTGCAAAGATAGTGCAGAGCAGTCCCATTATTCTTCACCCAATTTCACCCCCAAATTTTGAATTTTGATTAAGTCCAATTTACTAATTATTTTTAATGGATTATGCTTCTTGAATTGTTTAAAAATTTTTTGCAAAAACCAAGGTCTTGACATTTTCTCCGATTTTATTTTTATAAGATTTATAGCTTTAGTTTTTTTTTTTTTTTTTTTAAAGTAATCTCTGTGCCTAATGTTGTGGGGCTTGAGCTTATGACTCTGAGGTCAAGAGTTGCATGCTCTATCGAATGAGCCAGCCAGGTGCCCCAGCTTTAGCTCTTACATTGATGTCCCTGATCCATTTTGAATTAATTTTTGTATATAGTGTGAGGTAAGGGTCTACATTCATTATTTTGCATGTGGATATCCAGTTGTCCCAGCAGCATTTGTTGAAGACTCTTTCTATCAAACTGCCTTTATCAAAAATCAATTTGGTCGGGTGGTGGGAGGGAGGGGACAGTGGGTGATGGGCATTGAGGAGGGCACCTGTTGGGATGAGCACTGGGTGTTGTATGGAAACCGATTTGACAATAAATTTCATTTAAAAAAATAAAATTAAATTAACTACTGCTTGGTGTAGACCAAAAAAATCAATTGATTATAAATATATGAATTTATTTCTGAACTCTCAGGTCTGTTCTATTTATCTATGTTTATCCTTATGTCAGTTATCAAACTGTACTGATAACTGTAGCTTATATTATTTTAAAGATATTTTTTATTTTTTTTTAATGTTTATTTATTTTTGAGACAGAGAGAGACAGAGCATGAGCAGGGAAGGGGCAGAGAGAGAGGGAGACATAGAATCTGAAGCAGGCTCCAGGCTTGGGGGTGTCAGCACAGAGCCCAACGAGGGGCTTGAGCTCGTCAACTGCGAGATCATAACCTGAGCCGAAGTCAGATGCTCAACCGAGCCACCCAGGCGCCCCTTAACAATATTTTTTAAAATGTTTATTAATTTTGACAGAAAGAGAGAGCATGAGCAGAGGAGGGGCAGAGACAGAGAGAGAGAGAGAGAGAGAGAGAGAAGGAGAGAGAATCCCAGCTAGGCCCCGCACTGCCAGCACGGAGCCTAATATGGAGCTCAAACTCACGTACTGTGAGATCATGACGTGAGCTGAAATTAAGAGTCTGACGCTCAACCAACTGAACCCCCCATATGCCCCAATTTATATTAAGTTTTAAGATTAGGAAATGCAAAAGAAGTTCTTTTTCAACATTTTTTGGCTATTCTGTGTGTTCTGGGTTTCCATATACACTTTAGATACAGCTTGTTAATTTCTGCACAAAAAAGGCCTGCTGGAATTTTGATAGACATTGAGTTGAATCTATAGATCAATTTCAGGGGAACTGCCATTTTAACAATATTGAGTGTTCCAATCATTGAACATGGAATGTCTCTCCATTTATTAAGATCATATTTCATTTCCTTTAGTATTGTTTTGAAATTTTCATGTACAAGTCATGCACTTCTTTTGCTAATTTATTCATAAATATTTTATTCTTCTTAATATTGTGAATGGAATTGTTTTTCTTATTTTTTTCTGATTGTTCATTTTCATATATAGAAGTAAATTTATTTTTGCATATTAATATTGTCTGAAACCTTACTCAACTTGCTTAATTTAAAAAAAATTTTTTAATGTTTATTTATTTTTGAGAGAGAGAAAGAGAGAGCACAAGCAGGGGAGGGGCAGTGAGAGAGGGAGACACAGAATTCGAAGCAGGCTCCAGGCTCTGAGCCATCAGCACAGAGCCCAATGCGGGGCTCGAGCCCACAAACTGTGAGATCATGACCTAAGCCAAAGTTGAACACTCAACCGACTGAGCCACCCAGGCACCCCCCCCTTATTAATTTTAATAGGGGTTTGTGTGCATGTGTACATATTCCTTAGGATCTTCTGTATAGAAAATCATGGTTTGTGCACATCTGGACAGTTTTGCTTCCTTTTCTTTCTTTTTCCTGTGATTGTACAGGCTAGAATCTTCAGTATGATGTTGAATAGAAGTTGTAAGAGCTGACATTCTTGCATTATTTTTTCACCATTAAGTATGATATTAGCACTAATTCAAAAAGAGATATGCACCTCTATGTTTATTGCAGTATTATTTACAATAGCCAAAATAAGGAAGCAACCCAAGTGTCCACTAATAGATGAATGGATAATGAAGATGTGGGGTTTATATACAATGGAATATTACTCAGCCATAAAAAGAATGAAATCTTGCCATTTGCGACAGCATGGATGGATCAGAGGACATAATGCTAAGTGAAATAAGTCAGTCATAGAAAACTACCATATGATTTCACTCATATGTGGAATTTAAGAAACAAAACAAATGAACAAAGAGAAAAAAAGAGAAAACAAACAAACAAACAAACCAAGACTCTTAAATACAGAGAACACACTGGTGGTTACCAAAGGGGAGGTGGAATAGGAGATGGGGATTAAGGGTGCACTTATTGTGAAGGGCACTGAATAATATATGGAATTGTTGAATCACTATATTGTATACCTGAAATGAATATAACACTGTTTGTTAATTATATTGGAATTAAAAATATTTACTGTCTTCTACTGAGATGATTGTGTTGTTTTTATCCTTTATTCTATTAATATGGTATATTATATTAGTTCATTTAATAATATTAAACCATCTTTACATTCCTGGGTTGAATGCCGCTTGTTTAGAATGTATAATCCTTTGTATATGCTGTTGGATTCAGGATCAATCTGACTTTGAAAGATACCTGACTTTGGAAGAAATGCAGAAATTAGTCAAATCTCTACAAAATCTTGGTGGTTTTAATGATATTCTTAAAAAATTAGAAAGTTCAAGTTATCAGTATCTTTCATCTTTAGGACCAGTAACCCAAAAGATTTCAGGCACGTCTACTGAGTATAATCTATGTTCCAATTAACAGTGTAGAATGTGTTTTGAAATTATGCATTCTCTTAATGTTATGCAAATATTTTATTTATCTGGATAAGGAAGAGTCAACTCAATTTTGTGATACATTATTATTCATTTCTCAGTGGTATCTTTTAAGACCATTATCCATTTTATTTCATTATTACAATTATAGACACAAAGTCTTACAACCTTTCTGAAAGACAAAAACTCAGAAAGTTCAAATTATGCAATTTTAATATCTAATTCTTGTTTTGAACAGTGAACATTATGGACTTATCCCCATTTTCATCCTTTTTTTTCAAAATGAGTTTGAAAAGATCTTTCTCTTTTTCACAAGCTAGAAAGTACCCCTTGTACAATGAAGACTCAAATTGTATCTTATCATCATGTCCTGGAACACTTCTCTGAAAGAATATGATGTCATTTCCTTCATCATTGATACTCTCAGGAGGACTCATTTCCTATAGAGGAAAAAAAATACTTAATTTTTTAAGAACATGAACAATTTGAATATGTGTGGTTTATTTTGAAGTACATTACTGCAAAGAACTAAAGAAGTGCTTATTCTTAGCAATTAAGGAAAAAAAAAAAACCCAAACCTCTGAATATAAGAATATTGATTTTATTTCCTTCCTAATTCCTAATCTGTTCTCCTTGTTTAATCTGCCTTTTCCCACCATTGAATGCACATTCAGGTTTAAGCCTCTAGTTTCTCCCAATTTAACCATCAGGTAGCTTCCTTTTCTCCTCTCCCCTGAGTGTAGTCCATATCTGATCAAGATGAAGCAGAGTTCCAGCACAGACCACAACCTTCTTAGGCTAATGTCAATTCCTGTTTTCTTCAACCATTCACAGCCAAAGACATTGATGACCTTCACCCCTAGGCATAGGCTAGCTCTTGTTTGTGAGCCTAATGTGAGAGAGGCAGAAAGTGCAGGCATCTCAGCTTCTTCCCTCCTTCAGTGGAGCCTAGGACTGAAACTTGCTGTAAATAGACCCACTAATAGAGAGTCGAATCATAAGAGACTCTTAAAAACTGAGAACAAACAGAGGGTTGTTGGGGGGGTGGGAGGGAGGGTAGGGTAGGTGATGGGTATTGAAGAGGGCATCTTTTGGGATGAGCACTGGGTGTTGTATGGAAACCAATTTGACAATAAATTTCATATATTAAATAAATAAATAATAAATAAATAGACCCACTACTTGTACTAGGGCTAGGTCCTGGGTTCCAGGATAGCCCTGCTAATTGGCTTAGTCAGCACTTTTTCTCTGCCAAGCACTCCAGTTCCATAGTAGTTCCTGAATTTCTATCCTGAATTTGGCTGGGTCCTACCCTGAAAGCCAAATGCTGATTCTTATATCTTTCAGCCACAGAAGAGGGTTTTCTCAAGAATAGCTAGATTATGTGAAACCGTAATCCTGCCGGTCCCCCAACTGACAGTACTGCCTGCACTTTTCCTATTAGTGCATCATACCTACTTTTCAGAATGGACTAGAAAATGTGAGGACCACCCAAGTTTCTTTCCATATTAATCCTGGAGCCAACAGACATTTTGAACTTAATTTTGATCCCCTGGTAGCAAAGATGAGCATTATCCTATCTAAGGATTGATGGAGAGACCTCCAGACCCAAAATAGTATTCCAGCATCCTCTCAAGAGGCCTGAAAGAACCTGGGAGTACCTCCAAACTTCTCAATCCATTATGGAATTTATAGTCATAACTCTTGACCTTTTTCCTTTATCAACGTGTGAGGGTCTTGAATTGATGACAGTATAAACTAGTTCACCCACTGGCACATATTTCTGAGGCTGTCTACGATATACCAGAATGTAGGAAGAGACCCCAACCTAGGGGAGACAGTTTGGGACCAACCTAATATCTAATGTATAAGTGATAAATAATCCTTAGCTAAAACTTCAAAAACTCTAGAAATATTAAAGACAGATAAACCTTTTAGTTCAAACCTAGTGTAGAAAGTTATAGTTGAAGGTGGAAGTGTGGATAGGTGGAATAGGTGATCTCTAACTAGTTCAAGGCCACATTTCAGAACAGAGGCAAGGAATCTTGGGGCAGTAGCTTTCTTTAGTTTTGGTGTTGACTATTCATAGCCCTTATTGGGAAGATGCACAACAAATGGATGTGGAAACAATCCTAGTGACCTTGGGGAACACTCAACTTGGAAAGTCCTACCTGGTGAAACTTGAGTGCTCCAAGGGCCTAAGGTATTCTTTGCATCATTACATCAGGAGGGGTTGAATCTGAACCCAGGGAGAGGCAAGCTTGACCTAACATCTCTTACCTTAAAAATTTTTTTTTAAATGTTTACTTATTTTTGAAAGAGACAGAGAGTGAGAGAGAGAGAGAAAGTATGCGCAGGGGAGGGGCAGAGAGAGAGGGAGAGAGACACAGAATCCGAAGCAGGTTCTGGGCTCTGAGCTGTCAGCACAGAGCCTGACATGGGGCTCGAACCCACCAACTGTGAGGTCATGACCTGAGCCAAAATGGGACGTTTAACCGACTGAGCCACCCAGGCACCCCTGACCTAACATCTCTTATTTTGGTCCTCTCCCAGTTGCTTTAGTAAGTCTGAGAGAATCCTGACCATGCCTGGATGTACATACAAGAAACAGACACTGACAGTAAGGTCTTGAAACAAATCCGTCTTGGTGTCATGAAGGTTCTTGCCCAAAGGAAAACAGGGGTAACCAGAAGCACTAGGACTTTATAGCTAGTAAGCAACCCAGAAAGGTGAGTAAATAATGGCAGCCAATTGTGCCTTATTATCTCGAACTTAGTCTATATTTATAATCACTGCTAAGATCCTTATTAATGGGTGGAAAATGGGATTAAAGAGCATGACCTAAAACTGGTCCTAACACCTTCCTTTCCCTCTTCCCGCCCCTTGACTGAGTCCTTCCAGAAGCACATTTGCTATGAAGCTTAAATGTCAGAGCCCCTCACTTATACAGGTCTCTTTTAAGTCCCCTTCTTTTTTTAAATAAAGCATCAACTTTATGCCTTTGTTGATTTTATATTCTCTTTCTTTAAAAGGGCTGCCCAAATTGTGTCAACTTCAGCCTCCCCTACACCTGGATTTGCCTAGTTCCATTATTATCAGATAAACAACCATTAACTATAACTACAGAGTGACCCAGAAAACTTTCCTCCCAATGAGAGCAGTCTGGAGATGCTCACAAACTGACAATTTCAAAGGTGAATCCCATGTCGTGAACGATTTGCTAAATGGGGATTTGCCAATAAAGAACTGCTATCAAGATCACTTTCTACTGAAAGTTAGGAGTATGGCCTTAGTAGACATGCCAAGGGGCCACTTGGGAAGGGGGAAAATGCCACATGAAAATATAATTCTGGGGTACCTGGCTGGCTCAGTCCGTTAAGTGTCCAATTCTTGGTTTCAGCTCAGGTCATGATCTCACGATTTGTGAGATCAAGCCCCGAGCCGGGCTCTGCACTGACAGCGTGGATCCTGCTTGGGATTCTCTCTGCTCCTCCCCCACTCTCTCTCTCTTTCAAAATAAATAAATACACTTGAAAAAAAAAGATTGGACTGAGGATATTTGGGTTTTTTAATTTTGCACGTAAATATGACTAAAACAAATTAAGGCTCAGCCTTACCTTAAAGGAAATAATTTTGTTCTCACAGGAGAGAGTAGACATGGTCTTATAATTCACAGAGATGGTTACTGCCAGACCTCTAGTGAGGCTATCTTTATACATATATATGATAAATTCAGTCCGGGGTGCATTATCTGAAATAAACATTAATAAATAAGAACACTAGTTAGAAGAATTTTTGCAAATCACCATTTATGGAAATTAGCCTAGGGATAATCCTTAACAAACCCATCACTATTTCTGTACTCTGAGATTCAGCCATTTAGCAGGAGACTTTACATGGGCACTCTCACGTTCTTTAAAACACATTCATCATATGTATTATAACACAAATACAGCAACTTTTTGAGTGTTTTAGAGATACTATGAATTCTAAAAGATTGTTTTTAACCTTTAAATGTTAAATAGAATATTGAAAATCTATCTGTTATGGTAAGAATTTAGTTTTTTTTCCCCAAAGTACACATTCACTGTTTCAACTCTGCCTAAATTCTGATATTTGGAATTCAAACCTTGGAAGGCACAGTAAACAGATTCCTTTGTAAGGCATTCTAAATTTCTGGTGGAAGACAGACTCACTCCAAATGCTTGTGTATTTATTTTTGATTTTGAGTTTTGAAAATTCCATCAGCAATTTAGCCATAACCAACAGCGATTAAGGTCCATATGGAGATTCTGTAGAGTTAGTGCAATTTTAGTGAAGGGATTGGCGACCCTCATATAGGCTCAGAATAGCTTGACCCCTAGCCATATCTTTGTTGCATCAATTTTTCACCCCAACTAAAAAATGTGGACCTTATCAAGTTTTTTGTGTGTGAAATTATTACTACTCCTGTGATTTTTCATCTGAGGATTAGGTCTATCCTAGAAAAACATAGGTAGTTAACTGGAATGGGAAGAAGTAAGCTTGTCATTTTTATGTTACAAATATATATTTAAAAAAATACCTGTACAGTCAGAATCAGGCATATCCTCAAACACAGGTTGATCTCCCTGGTTAATGAAGAGAACTTGGTCGTTCAAGTTTCGTAAGATTGAGAGTTTATGTTCAAGCTTGCCAAAGTAATCTGTTTCCAGGTTTTCTACAATGCACATTAAATCTCATTAAAGAATATGTTTTTTTCTTCCCAAATTACAAATAATCATTCTATATATTTCAGTTTTCAATAACTGCTAATCATAATCTTCTGGTGTAGAAGATGGTAGGACAAAGTTGCACAGTGTTTTTTAACCCACTTCCAAGAGCGCACCCTGATTCTTATTATCACCTTTTTATCACTACTCTAACTCATATAGTCTTTTTTTTTTAAGTTTATTTATTTTTGAGAGAGAGAGACAGAGTGTGAATGGGAAGGGGCAGAGAGAGAGGGAGAGACATAATCTAGAGCAGGCTCCAGACAGAACCCGACGTGGGGCTTGAACTCATGAATCCGTGAGATCATGACCTGAGCTGAAGTCGGACTCTTAACCAACTGAGCTACCCAGGCGCCCCTACTTCTATGGTCTTAAATTCAAATACCCTATTTTCAAACCACAATCTCCCATCCTTTTAGCTTTCTTAAGCTTTTCCTCTATGTTTAGAGTCCTCCTGCCTCTTAACATTTTCTGTCTTCCCTTTCTTCTCTATGAAGCCTGGGCCTCACAGCTCATCATTTAATCTATCCTTTGCCAGTGTCTTAAATCCTGAATTTATTTGTCCTTTTACTACAAAACCCCAAGACTGGCTGCTGAGGGTTGCTGCCAAGCAATTATACAAATGTACAAATTGGCACATTCCCAGTTCACCGATTGTCAATACTTTCTTTCTGTTATAGCTCAACAATCCTCTGTGGTACAGAGCTGTGATTCTAAATTTTTTTTTTTTTTTCAACGTTTTTTATTTATTTTTGGGACAGAGAGAGACAGAGCATGAACGGGGGAGGGGCAGAGAGAGAGGGAGACACAGAATCGGAAACAGGCTCCAGGCTCCGAGCCATCAGCCCAGAGCCTGACGCGGGGCTCGAACTCACGGACCGCGAGATCGTGACCTGGCTGAAGTCGGACGCTTAACCGACTGCGCCACCCAGGCGCCCCTGGAGCTGTGATTCTAAATCTTCTCCTATCTCCTAAGGATCTCTACATTGTGACCTCTGCTTTCGCTTTCTGCAAATGATTTCCTGCCTCTCCACTTACAAACATAACTGTGGCACCACCGGTTAATTTCCTCTACCCTCCCCCCCTCTTGTCCCAGGGGGAAAATGTGGAAAAGGTGCTCCTTCTCGTGTCTAGGGATAACTCCATCTGTGTTTTGCATGTATCTTCTACTGAAACCTTGATTTACCAATCACCCCCTTTTTTTCTGTCAACCCAGTCATTCTACTTCCTGGATTAGTTGTATTTATGATCATAGTTCGTGAGTTCAAGCTCTGCCTCAGGCTCTGTGCTGACAGCTGAGAACCTGGAGCCTGCTTCAGATTCTGTCTCCCTCTCTCTCCACCCGTCCCACACTCGTGCTCTCTGTCTCTCAAAAATGAATAAATGTTAAAAGAATTTATATATCCAGTCCACATTTTCATCCGGATCTAAGAACTTTATGTGCAAGAGTCCACTGGACATTTCCACTAGGATGTCCCACAGATAAGATCTAAAACTAAATTTATGTCTTCCTCTTTGCTCCGCATTCCTCATTACCCTGCTTTTCCTCTTGTGTTTCCTATTTAACTGAACGGTACAAATTGGCTAAGTGCAAAAATGTAGGCATTATCTTTTCGGTCTTTCTTTCCATCCCATTCGAAATCCAGCCCCAACTGTGTCCTCTTGATTCTTTTAAGTATTTCTAAAATCCATGCACAGCTCTTCATAGGCATCCACTGTGCCTACCTTAATTCATGTCACCATCATTTCTTACAGGGACTGCAGTAATAGCCTCTTAATTGCCATCTCCCCCCCTTTTTTTTTTTTGTCCCCACATCAATTCTTTATACTGAAGCCAGGAGGAATTAAAATTCAATTTTAATTAAAGTTAAAATTCAGAAATATGAGCATGTTATCTCTGATTTTTAATGGGGCACATAGCCACCTAGAATAAAAATTATATTTTCCAGATTCCCTTGCAGTTGGTATCGCCAGGTGACTAAATTCTAATGAACGGAATATGAGTGGAGTTGATGTGTACAACTTCCAGGTAGAGACTTTAAAAGGAATGGGGCTGTCTTCCTCTTATTTTGAACCCTTTCTTGCTAGCTGGGATATGGATCTAGGAAGTATGGTAATGATTTTCAAGTATGTGAATGAGTTCAACAACTTAGGGATACTGGAATAGCAGGAGAGAAGAAACTTGAGATCCCACCATCATCACGAACTACCAACTTGGACTTGTATTTTACGGAAGCATTTCTCTTACTATATTTTTGGGTTTCTTTGTTGCAGCAAATTGATCTGTATCCCAGGTCATACATATTACGCTTTCTGAATCCCCATTATCCCAAAGATAAGGTCTAAATTCCCTATCTTAGAATAAAGGAAGCTTCTTTATCTGCACCCTGTTTATCCTTCTTCTCTCTTCATTCTCCTACTCCCATTCTGAATTACTTTTAATTGCTCAGACATGCCATGCTTTCTTTCATATCTTGGCCTGTGCATGCTGTCTTCTCCCTGCCCACAATACCTTCTCTTCACTAACGCCTATTCACTCTTTAAATCTGTCCCTCCTTCAAAGTGCCCTCCCAGAATCTACTGGACTGAATTAGGTGCCTCTTCCATGTGCTCCCATAGCATCCTGTGTCTTTGTAACACTTAACATACTGTATTCCAATTGTCTTCCTCATGGGCCTGCTTCTCCCTGTAGGAACCATGTTTTGCTCACCACTGTATCCTACTGCTTGATATAACACCTGGGATACAGATACCAATATTTACTGAATTAAATAAATGGAGAGCAAGGCAATCTTTAAGAAACATGACGAGTTATAGGTCAATTATATTTCAGTAAAGCTGGGGGGAAAAAGACATGTGAAAAATAGTATTTTTTTTAAAGTTGATACTTTCTATTTCAAGTACAGTAAGGATCACCTTAAGAATGGGAAAAGTGTTACTTTTAAGGAAAAGTATGAGAAACTCATGGCCTCTAATAATCTGGGGTCTTTTAGAGGATCATAGGCCAGACATGGGTATGGTCCTACCTGAATGCCAGAAGGACAAGAACTGGGTACATCCACATCTTAATAAGACATAATGGCTCAGCTTCATAATTCTGCCTGCTCTACCCTCTCCTGTCTCCTCTGTTTCCAGAATCCTCTGCCACCTGGGAGCCTCCCAGGCTTCTTCCCAAAACATTTCTGAGAGAGAGGGTTAAAGGAAGGTTTCCTTGACTTTGGACAATTCTCTTGCTTCAATCCCCTTTTCTTCCAGAGAATCCATGACCTCCTCATAATCTTAGAATCTCTGTAATAAGCAAAGTCTATTTTGTAGATTCTAAGAGCTAGAGAAGTTTCTAAGGTGTAGAGAGAAGCATATTTTGCTAGCGGTTCTTCTCTGTATCCCTTATGGTCATCTTTATTCCGAGGCTGTTCTTTTGAGTCCACATTCCTTTGAGGGAAGATTAGCTTCTCAAATGGCCTAGTACCAGATTCTCTCAGCTGAGAATGGGGATATGGATGTGTCTGAGAGGTGCTTACTCAAGTAGCTACTGATTTTGCAAAGAAAGAGAAATAAATTTATACTTTACCATCACTGTCAGCTAAAGGGGAAAAAAAGAGAAACAAAATATGTTAAACTCTATATTTCAATTCGGAATCTCCTCTTACCCTACCATTTTATAACTCGTCTGTCACTTCCCAGTGTTTAACCACTAACTAACCAGTGATGGCCTTTGTGGGCCTCCATCAGAAATATTATACAATCATGCCAGAGGTCACATAAAATGGAGCTCATTAGACTTAGTGTGGTCTCAGTTAAATTAGATATAAAACCCAAATCCAGAGTTCACAAATTTAAATTTTTACTTAAAAGGAAATTTTGTAAAGTGATAGATTACTCTTAAGTTTATGGTTTCAGTGGAAAGTCACCTAGGGACTTTCTGTGAATCTTTCAAATGAAGCCAAACTTTCAAATGGAGCCAAGCTGCCCACAGAAGATGAATCATTAGAATCTGTTTTTATTTGTCAAGTTTGTTTACATAAACTGGCATAATCTACTCACAGAACTCCAGATTTAAGGTATTTGTTATATGATTTGCCAGTTTGTTGCAGGAAATTATATTCCCTGAGTGTACCCAATTTTGTGAGATTTCATCATGTGCACCTGCAGCCATCTTATGGGTTGGCTTCTGCTAGCTAAAGTGACAGGACATGTGGTGAGACAAGGCGCTAGGACGTTGGACATATTGTGGTTAATTTCTAGAGGCCCAGTATTTTTTATTCTTTTCCAGAAAAGAGGGTCACCGGTATTACAACAGAATTTGGTGACAAAAAAAGAGGTGCTCAATAGTTTATCTCACAACATCTTTTCTAGCTGAATACATTTATCTGAATCCTTATCTGGCCTATTGCTTTAGACTTACCTACAAAGTAAAGTGTATTGTCAATAAATTTCATTCCCACAAAGTTGATGCAATCATCTACTGGTATAGCAGTCATCTTTATTCCTAATGAAAGCAAAGAGTCATTTGTGAAAAGGTAGTGGTTTTTCCATTTCCACCCCAAAAATATTTTTCTACTTACTGCCTTCTATTACCTCCAAACTCAGAAGTCAGTGTATCACCCAGTATGCTGATGAACACTTTGGATATTTAATAAACACTTGGGTCTTCAGCTTATGAATACACGTGTTCAAATGTTCTCTTGTAAACCAACAAATGTTTGGAATCTAGAAAGCATCTTCTCATAAGACAGTATTATAAAGGGTGGATAAGTGGCCCACTACTGAACTGAAATATTGTCCTAGTATCTTGGAGGAAATATATCATCAATATACATACACGATGCTTGTCATTTAACTATGGATTGGTTCTATGTCTGTCTTACAACCAATGGGTTCATGTGCATGGGAGACTGAAGCTTTGTGACTTCATTGTGAAAGTGCCAAAAGTGAGGCAATGATAAAAGTAGTGTTTCTGCCTGGGAGTAAGGGCAGTGTGTGAGGACGCCACAGCGCTCTGGCATCTGATGGCCCTTTTTCTCCTTGAGCAGCCACAGCTTTTGGTCTGGAGTTTGGGTTATACTATGCTTTTTACACAAGTAATACATAAATACAGTGTTTCTGTAAAAATAAAAAAAATAAAACCCAAATAATACAAGACTTAAACATGTTAAAACTTCTTCTTTTTGCTTTTCTCCTCTACCCCACCCTATTCCACCCCACCCCAATATTGTGTGTATCCTTCTAGACCTTTGTCTATGAAGAAGGGTTTCTATACCTGAGAAATTTGTAAACTTAGATAGGAAAAAATTACATATTACAAATAAAAAATTACATTTATTTTCACCAACTTCTAAAAATTTTTTTTAAATGTTTATTTATTTTTGTGAGAGAGAAAGAGAGACAGAGTGTGAGCAGGGGAGGGGCAGAGAGAAACAGAGACCCAGAATCTGAAGCAGGCTTCAGGCTCTGAGCTGTCAGCAGAGTCCAACATAGGGCTCAAGCTCATGGACCTCGAGATCATGACCCGAAGTGAAGTCGGACACTTAACCAACTGAGCCAGCTAGGTGCCCCTATTTTCATCAACTTCTAACTGAAATTTAGCAGTTCCTCCCCTTATGGTCGTGTAGGAAACCACAGTATGTATTATTAGCAGTATCTCTGATGTCAGTAATGGAAACACATATTTCCTATTGTGTTATAATTGTTGTAGAGATCTTGAAATAGGGTTTAAACTCCTTACTACTTTGAAATATACAGAACTTATTAGTTCCACCAGCAGATTTTGGGTTTGTTTGTTTGCATGTTTGTTTGCAAAATTTTTTTTTAATGTTTATTTATTTTTGAGAGAGAGAGAAAGCGCGTGCACGTGCGTAAGGTGAGGAGGGGCAGAGAAAGAGGGAGAGAGAGGATCCAAAGCAGGCTCTGTGCTGACAGCAGAGAAAGAGAGCCCAATGGGGCTTGAACTCCCGAACTGTGAGATCACGACCTGAGCTGAAGCCAATGTTCAAAACTGACTGAGCCACCCAAGTGCCCCAAATTTTGTTATTTATGTCTTAATAAAGAGGCACATATATACTATATCAAAATTTGTTAAAAAACCTTTTTTGATAACCCCAATTTAATATAATAAGTTTCCTTTATAAGCCTAAGTATTTAAGATAATTTTTTAGATATTTATTTGTTTTTGAGAGAAAGAGAGAGAGACAGAGCATGAGTGAGGGAGGGGCAGAGAGTGGGAGACACAGAATCTGAAATAGGCTCTGAACTGTCAGCACAGAGCCCGACATGGGGCTTCAGCTCACTAACCATGAGATCATGACCTGAGCTGAAGTCGAATGCTTAACCTACTGAGCAATTAAGTACTAAATGTTATCCATGTAAACACATTATTTTGTGAAGGGGTCCAGAAACTTCACCAGATTGTCTGTGAGGGCCCATGCCACAGAAATGATTAAGAGGCCCTACTCCAGAGTTCAGCAGTACCTTGGGTTCCTGAGGGTAATTATGGTTGGGGCTCTAAGGCATGTGGCTGCTTCACAGTAGTCCTTGGTATATAGAGGAGTATTTAAGTCAAAGCTCATAGGTAGAGAAGTGACTCAAATTTTTTTCTGGCAGGGGCGCCTGGGTGGCGCAGTCGGTTAAGCATCCGACTTCAGCCAGGTCACGATCTCGCGGTCCGTGAGTTCGAGCCCCGCGTCGGGCTCTGGGCTGATGGCTCAGAGCCTGGAGCCTGTTTCCAATTCTGTGTCTCCCTCTCTCTCTGCCCCTCCCCCGTTCATGCTCTGTCTCTCTCTGTCCCAAAAATAAATAAATGTTAAAAAAATTAAAAAAAAAAAAATTTTTTTTCTGGCATAGTCTGCTGAGGCCAAACATATGTGGTAGAAGAAGCCAGAAATTAAAACCCAGTTAAAAACCTTAATCCAAATTAAGGTAACCCAAAACACTTGTGAATTGGTGGCTATTTAACAGTTTTATCTAGGTTCAATTCCTTATACATATACAAATGTGGATAGTTATCAAATTTATATAGATAGATAATATACAAGCATATATGTATATATAATTTCATATATATGAAATAATGGCTAGGGTGGTCTTCTCTACAAACTTTAATGTTATGTAATGCATTCATATTTTTGTAAAATAATTTACTTGAAAAGCCCTAAATAGTATATTGGATGGAATTGGATGAAATTACTAGTGTTTACTACAGTGAGTATTTAGTCAATGAGTGAATTAATTTAGAGGACACTACTACCTTAAAAAGAATAATATTACACAATATTTGAAATCATTCATCAGGTAATTACTGAGCATGCACTACGTATCAGGCATGGAGCTAGAAAGCTGACAAAACACAATACTTACCCTGCAATTACTCAGAGTCTAGGGAGAGACAAATATATCAACAATTACAAAATAGTACAATGAACGCTGTGCAGAGCTGGGTTTACAAGAGATCCTCTCTGTTTGCCTGGTGGTGTGTGGAAGAAAACTTCTTAGAGGAAGTGATAATCATGCTGCCTTGAAAGAGAGGCAGGCATTTTCTTTTCTTTTTTATTAATTTTCTTTTTTTAAATTTACATCCAAATTAGTTAGCATATAGCGCAACAATGATTTCAGGAGTAGATTCCTTAATGCCCCTTACCCACGTAGCTCATCCCCCCTCCCACACCCCCTCCAGTAACCCTCTGCTTGTTCTACATATGAGAGGCAGGCATTTACAAGGCCAGGGGAAGAGCTTTCCACAAAGAGGGAACAACGTGAGCAAAAGCCTGGAGCAGGGAATTCTGAGAGAACCTTGCTTGTTTGGAACCTCATCACTTTTCCTGCAGTTAATGCAAATGCAGTCCCATTGGGTAGGAAGAAAGCATTTCTGAAGATCTCAGATAGTTCAAGATTAACTTTTCCTTGGGAACAAATACAAAAGTAGTAAAGAGATATCCTCGGAGGACATAAATCTACAACAACCAGAGTGTATTCTTGCTTTCTTTCTTTGTTTCAACTTTCTCAGCATTATAGCCGATTCTTTGCATAGTGCTCTCTCTCCACACATTCTATCGTGGTGGTACTTTGGCCTTTTTATCATTGTTTTCTGACATCTAACTGTTTTTCCAACTTATTTGGAAAATATTTATTTGGAGGTGTTTTTCAGCACAAGCAGTAATAATACCCCTCAGCGCTTTGATGACATTACTATCAGATATAAAAATATTTAAAATTATGATAGTAGTGAATATTTAAAGTTTTAAAAATGTTTATTTTTGAGAGAGAGAGAGAGAGAGAGAGTGCAAGGAGGGGAGGGGCAGAGAGAGAGGAAGACAGAATCCGAAGCAGGCTCCAGACTCTAAGCTGTCAGTAGAGCCCAAGGCAGGTCTTGAACTCAAGAACTGTGAGATCATGACCTGAGCCGGAGTCGGATGCTCAGTCAATTGAGCCACCCAGGCGCCTCAGTAGTGAATATTTTAAAAATAGCATACCAATAACCTGTATGTTTCAAGAATAGCCTACCTTACATAATACCAACAAGGAAGCAGGTAATTGTCAAGTATGAGAGACACTTAAATGTGGGAAGAGTGTTAACAGCTCACAACTCACTTGCCCTACCACCTTTGAAATTGTGTCATTCTACATAAACTAATTTGGAGGAGTTCACATATTTCCATTTTGCCTATAAAGTGAGACTATTATGGGGCACCTGGGTGGCTCAGTCAGTTAAGTGTCCGACCCTCAGTTTCAGCTCAGTTCATGATCTCATGGTTTCATGGGTTCAGGCCCTGCATCGGGCTTTGTGCTGGCAGCTTGGAGCCTGCTTGAGATTCTCTCTCTCCCTCTCTTTCTGCCCCTCCCTGACTTGTGCTGTTTCTGTCTCTCTCAAAATAAAATAAAACTTAAAAAAAAAACAATTTGAAAAATGAGTCTATTATTTCTCTATTCTTGATTCTGTCTGGTTCAATTCACATAAAATGCAACTTGCAAAATAGTTCAGTTTGACATAAACTTGTAAAGGAGAGTCTGATTATAAAGGCCTTGCTTAAGTAGGCTAAAGAGTTTGAACTGTTTTTCTGAAAAAAAAAATAGTGAATCTCTTTAAGTAGGAGAAAGACATGGTCAGATTTATGTTTTGAAAAGTTCACCCTGGCAGCTGTGTAGAGGATGGATTTGATGGGGCAAAACTGAACAGAGGCCAGAAAACAACCTCAGAAGTAATTTTAACAGTTAAGGTAACAGTTGATGAAGCTATAAACTAAGTAAGGTAGCGACTGTGGGGACAAAAGCACTGGATGGATTCAAGAGAGATGAAATATCAGGATTGGTTTTTAGCTAATTGGCTGTAGATCAAATGGAAGAAGGAGGAACTGCGGGTGACTTCAAAGTTGCTGGCTTGGGCAACTTGTTGAGTGGTTACCTCATTATAACTAAGAAAAAAGAGAATGGCAGGCCAAGTGGAAAATGATTAGTTCAGTTTTGTAAATCTAAGAGAGAAGTGTCACAGAAGACAAGGGAGAAAGGAGCTTTAAGGAGGAACTGCTTAGGTACAAGCTCAAACTTGTTTATCGAATGTGGCAAGTTAGGAAGGTCTGGTGTCGGTAGAACAGTTTGGGGAATGTGAGGGAACAGAAGCACGTTGACAAAGATCTAGGGCAGAATGGGGTGGGGGAAAAAGTAAGATAGCAAATAGAAACTATTTTTTTAGGGACTCAGGCCATAAAGTGAAGAGAGAGGGTGGTAGTTTCTATAACTTGCAAATTTCAGTTTCTGGTCCAGACCCACAGTTCCAGCTGTAGGGTATACTAATGAATTACTTTCTAAAACATGCCCAAATAACCTGTCTGCAACGGAAACCCGGGAGTCCTCCACTCCTTTGTCTAACCTGCCTCACAAATACTGTAGGTTATAACTCAGAAATGTCTCTAGAATTTGGCATCTCCTCTCCATCTCCACCAGCATTGTTTTAAGTCCAGCCCTCATCACTTCTGGCATCTTCTCTTTAGAGATTTTCTGGCTTCCAGACTCTCCCGGCTCCATACTGTTGCCAGCGACATTTCCCCTGCCAGGCAGTAACTTCCCTGTTTTCGTTGCCTGCTAGACCCTTGGTTCTTCACCTTTTCGGGCCCAGCTCAAACATTTTCTCTGTGAAGACTTCCCTTACTCCTCCATTCCTACCTAATCATTCTCTCACCAGTGCCCCCCTACACCTACCCCCGCTTATGCTTCTCAAATACATCTTACTACACTGAATGAGATTATTTTGATTACAAATAGGTCTGCCCAGCTTCAATCTGAGTTTCTTTAAGATGAATTGTCCCTTTCTTCTTGAATCTTCCACATCTGGAAAGAAGTTTATATACAGCAGGGGCTCAATCAATGTTAAAGGAATAAATGTCTGCTATGATACACCTTGTTGCCGTGACAACAGTGTGTAAAGGAACTGGTAGAATTTTTTTCTATCTTAAAACCTTCACTCCATCTGAAGGCCAATGAGAAAGAGAAGGAATATTGGGAACACTTGAAACATATTAAAAAAAAAACACGGTAACTTCTCCAATATTCTCCCTCTTCTCCCCCCTCCCCCCCCCCGTGGTTTCTTTTTTACTTCAAGTGCTTATTTTGAATTCTTTATTTTCTTACCACTCTTCTTGTGAGATCTCAGTATATCTACAAATAACCCTTCTATTCCTCCCCTCAACTTCCCTCTTTTCCAGCCTCATCTGTGTCCCTTTGCTTTCTTAACTCCAGTCTGTGAAAATTATAGTTCCCACTGGATAAATATGCTTTGAATATTTCATCTAAAATTCTCAGATTATTGACTTTTTTTCATCTAAAGTTACAAACCACCTCAGAACGATCCTCCCGGGAATATGCAAGTGGCAATTGGTTCTTTCAAACAAAAACAGTTTTTGTTATACAAGCCTTGGAGACTAGCCACAAGCTAGTGAATGGTAGAAAATCATGATGGACATGAGGTCACATGCTTCACAATCTTGTCTGGGGCAAGTCACTTAATTTTGATGGTCTCGGTTTCCTCATTTGGACAAAGAGGAAGTTGAATGGTTAATATTACAGGTGTTATCCAGCTCCAGTATTCTGTAATTCTAGATTTTAGCTAAGGCTGCAAGGAGAGAACCATTTATATGTGGCAAATGCCCTCATAACCACTTCCTCATAACTCTAACACAACACGTATTGATTGAATATGTATTTCAGCCATAGAGGAGTTTAAAAACATACTATTGGAGGAATACTACTTGGCAATGAGAACGAATGAAATCATGCCATTTGCAGCAATGTGGATGGAACTGGAAGGCATCATGCTGAGTGACATAAGTCAGTCTGAGAAGGACAGATATCATATGTTTTCACTCATATGTGGATCTTAGAAACTTAACAGAAGACCATGGGAGCAGGGAAGGGTAAAAAATAGTTACAAACAGAGAGGGAGGGAGGCAAACCATAAAAGAATCTTAAATACAGAGAAAAAATTGAGGGTGGATGGGGGGGCAGGGAGAGGGGAAAATGAGTGATGGGCATTGAGGAGGGCACTTGTTGGGATGAGCACTGGGTGTTGTATGTAAGTGACGAACCATGGGAATCTACCCCAAAAACCAAGAACACACTTCACACACGGTATGTTAGCCAACTTGACAATAAATTATATTAAAAAAAAAAACCATATTATTAGAATGTTTGAAAAGCAATTTGAATTTGAAAAGCAATCATGTTTATCCTTGCTGTGGATTTCAATTCTGTGGCATAGACAGACACCGGATGAAATGAGGAAGCATATTACCTAATTCCCTAAAATCAGGTACTTAGTCATCTTGGTAGCAGCAAGATGAAAATCTAAGTATTCAGTTCTAGAAATCATTTAGTTCTTGAAAATGTTGCCATTCCATGAATGTCTGTATGTGGATGTGGCAGAGGTGGGATGGAGGAAGACCGAGGTAAAAATTTAGGTAAGTAATAGGTGGCTGATAATAGGTGCAATATAATGATAATAGGTACGTATATAATCCACAGCTAAATACAGACTCAAAGGAAAATCCAGAGTGGAACTGATGTAGTTGGAATGGCCTCGTGTGAAAAGGAGAATCAAATTTAACCTTAAAGAATGCTTACGATTTAAATAGATGGGAAAGGACATGGAAGAGCATTTATATGATCATTAAAACAGTGTTGTGATGGAGGATGGACTTCATGAATGGAGCCATTTTTTTGGACTGTGGTGGAACACTCCTGCTGTCCTGCAGTGAACTCAGGGTAGGGTGGGGTTAGAGAGGGCTTTGGAAGTCACTAGAAGAATGTGATCTTATTTATTTATTTATTTTTAAGTTTATTTATTTTTCTTAGTAATCTCTACACCCAACGTGTGGCTCAAACTCATGACCCCAAGATCAAGAGTTGCATGCTCTTCCTGGTGAGCCAGCCAGGTGCCCCAGAAAAATGTGAACTTAATCTCATAGGCAATAGGAATGCAAGTTACTGAGCCAGCAAGTGCATTTTGAAAAAGATAAGAGACAGACGCTGGCACTACTCTAAGAATTCATGTACAAATTTGCATAAGAATTCATAATATTCATGTAGGGATATTATGAACAAGCCAGGTTAAAAAAGATACTCTGGAGGAAGATTTAAAAGAACTTGAAATAGCTGGATATAGACAAAAAGAAAAGAGGAGTTTAAGGGAGTCCTAATTTCTCTTAGTACTTCAAAATAGAGGTATTAATTTAGCCCTTGCCTTATTGTGAAATAAGATTCTCCTGGGGAATGTTATAATTTCATCCAACTATAGCCCAGCTAAGGGTGCTGATGCAGATTCTATCAAGAGGATCAACCTTTGGCAAAAATTTTTTGTTTGCTTTTAGAATCATGGATTCAGAGTTGAGACTCCCGTTGAAGAGAAGCTTACTTATTTTATTGTTCTAAAGCAGCAATTCTTAAGGGGCTCTTGAGGTCAAAGCTATTTTCATAATAATAACAAGCTGTAATTTGTCTTTTTCACCCTCATTCTCTCATGTGTATACACTACAGTTTACCAGAGCTTACATTCTGGGCAATATCACATAGATTAAATGCAGAAGCAGATAGAAACACAACTGTCTTCCTTTAAGCCAGAGATTCATAAACATGAAAAACAATGTCACTCTTCACAGATTTTTAAAAAATGTATGGTTATTTATAATTAAAAATGTTTTTTATGCTGGCCTGTGATGTGCTTACTGTTATTTTGAAACAAGTTGAATTTCTAGTACAGTAAATGACAACAATACAGTCAAGTAACCTAGGGAAACAAACATTTTTGAGGGTCCTCAATGATTTTTAGGAATGTAAAGAGGTCACAAGACCAAAAAGTTTGAGAACGTTTGCTCAAAAGTGATACTCTCCAACATTGGCTAGAAGAAAAAGTTTCCACTCTGACTTTGCTGTGTTCCCTATGTTGTTACAGATTGCCCATCATAGTGATGTCAGAGGACCTCAATTCGTCTCAATCACTTTTCTAGTTGATTTACTTTTAAAACCATGTCTCATTTCTAAATAAAAAGGAATGATATTTCTTACCTGTGCTCAATAGTTTCCTGGGAGAGGAAGGGATCTGGAAGGTTTGAGGTCCCTTTCTTTTCCTGAGCTGTGTAGATGGCAGAAGGTGGCAGCAGCCCCTTTAGCAGCTGAAGCTGGCAGCCAGGAATGCAGAAAGCATTGGAAAACAGAGCTTGCTGGTCATCTGATCTATAGCCGTCTGGGGGAGGAGGAGACCAAGCGATTGGGAGAAAGGAGGAAGGAGGTGGAGGGAGGAGACTGTTCTGGCACGCCTTGAACCCGCCTTCAAATGTGGGCTCTTTCCAAGGGCAGTAGAACTGGAAATAAAGCCAGAGAATTTGCGTACTTCTTTTAATGTAAAATCACTATTTTAACGAGATAATTTCTGCTGTAAAAGTTGGAGTTCTGGCCCTTCCAAATCTTTTGCCTTTCTCTCAGAAGTACTGTACTTTCAAGCCCTTTTAAAAAAGCACCTGCTTGGTCAATTAGAAGCATCTTTTCTCACTTTAATCTCTCTCTATTTTGAGATTTTCTATTCACACTTTAGCACAAAACTTTTCCCTTATCTTGTGGTGCTGAATAATCAGCCCTATTAGAATAATCCCTATAATGTAATAATAGCACCTGAAATGTAATTTTAAAAAAACAGAGTAAGATATCACAGCCTTGAAAGTAATTAGCAGAAACAAAATTCCCCGGACAATTTTTTCTTGAACACGTGCCAAATGGTATTACCGTGCTAGCAAGGAAAGTAGCAAAGTGACTTTTGGTTTCTGCTTTTTTGGCCAGTATAGAGCCTATATGGAAACAGAGGTGTTCTAGAGTTAGAAATCAAATGCTTCCATAAGCAGCTAGTTGAGTTTGGTTTATTTATTTATTTTTTTAACAAAATAGGGTTTTCATTTTACAATGTTATAAAAACATCATGTCCACCGCAGTGATTACAAAGGAAGTCTGTGGTGAGATGGTCAGAGGTGCTTGGTGCAGAGACTACTAGAAAAAGAAAAATCATGCATTTAGGAAATATATGGTAAGAATACACACATGGTTGAAATTGAAGTAACAGATTTCCATCCTCCAACTGTAGTGTTCCATATAGCTAATTAACACGAAAGCATGAAATAGAGTCAAAGAATGATCAGAAGCAGAGCACCAAACAAGTTAATTTTATTATTTTTATTTTTTATTAGAAAATTTTTTTAACGTTTATTCATTTTTGAGAGACAGAGAGAGACAGAGCATGAGTGGGGGAGTGACAGAGAGGGAGACACAGAATATGAAGCAGGCTCCGGGCTCTGAGCTGTCAGCACACAGCCAGAGGCGGGGCTCAAACCCTTGAACCGTGAGATCATGACCTGAGGCGAAGTTGGATGCTTAACCGGCTGAGCCACCCAGGCACCCCCGAA